TGAAGTCCTTAAGCTTGGTGACCTCACTCAATGCCTAGGCATTTTAGTAAGCACGCCATTCCCAATGGCTATTTTGCATGTAGTGAGCTCTTTCTTGAGCCCTTTATCTTTTTATGCATGGCCTTGACTGAGGCCTTCATGGCGTCGTTCCTCTAGGTGAATACCTCAATGGCATCATTGAAGGTAGCCTATATCTCGCCCTTGAGTCCTTTTTTTATTTAGTTTAGCTTCTCAATGTAAGTATCCATATTTTTAAGCTTGTCCCTTATATCCACCTTCGCCACCTCCACTTTGGTTACACACCTATCCATGGTAAACTAAATGTCCTTTGAGCTAACCCTTTTATCCTTACCATAAGCTTCATAAACCTCATCTTGTTAGATGGAAACATTGCCTTAAGATGCCATCTCTAAGTAGCAACCTTGAGCAATAATCGAACAACCAAAAGTTCTTATACCAATTGTCACGAGCTTCAGTCTTAAGCATAAGTTTTGTGTAGCCTTAGAAAAAGAATTGACTCTGTATGCCTAAGTCAACCTACAAACACTCAAAAAGAATGAGATACTAAAAAAAATCAAAAGGTAATAAGAATAAGAAAGCAAAGAACATAAAAAGATAGCTAGAATGCTCTTAGCTTTAATTGCATAAATGAGTGTAGATGGATACAAATAAGGATAGGTGACCCTTTATTTATATTTGAAACCCCTTTACATCTCTGTCTAATCGTAAATTCAAGGGATTACATTTAAAACACAAGATTACATGATATCCCCTTAATTTTATGGGATTGAATAGATATTCCCATTAAATTCCATGATTTAGGGGATATTGTCAGCATCTTCTAGGAATATGCTTGAGCAATGACTCTGTTGGAACTTTCTAGATCTTATACCCTCTTATGGGCCTTTTTAGAAGCTGTACAGATATGGTTTGGGCCCTTATGATATGGTTTGGGCCCTGATGATATGGTGTGGGCAGATTTGGGTTTGGATGTTGTTATGCGGGTAGTTCTGATGCTACTTATCTATTTTGCGCTGAAACTTCAAAGCTCGATATTGGTGAGCAAGCCTTGGCCTCTGGTGAATGGGCTTTAGCTCTTAGTTTGACCACATAGTGCATGACACTTGGCTCTTTCACCAAAACTTCTTTGCCATTCCTTATTTTTCATTTCCTTTTTATAGTGGTCAGGTATTAATGTTAGTTAGAAAAGCCCACACCTCCCTAATAATGATGCAACGACTACAGCCTCCATTACCTTGTCCTATTTGGCCCCTACGACCTCTACCTTAAGCTCCCACTCCTTTACCTTGGGCTTTCTAAACCATCTTCCCTTTACATTAGTCACCAACATTAGTGACTAGTACTCTAACTCCCTCATCCTTTATCAGCAACAGTAACACAAATAACAAACAAATAAAAATAGTTTCCTCGTAAAAACTTTTTGCAACAAACATAGAAACAATAGCAAACAATCACTCAAGCAACAAAGTTCTTTCTAACGCAAATAGAAAAAGTGAGTGAAAATTTTTCCAAGTTTCTTATCTATACTTAGCCAAACACCATGAATGAAAAGGTACCAATTAGAAATAATCCAAGCATCAAGCAACTCCTTTGAAATGGCAACAATTTAAACCATTTCAATTGATTCCAAAATGGTCCAAATTAATATCTTTTAAACTTGACCTTTTTGTTACCCTTTTTCAAAACAAATACATTCATTCCCCCTCAAAAAATTGGTTCCTTTTTAAAATTTAAAACCACTAATTAGACTTGACCATCCTCGAATCCCAGAGCACCACGTGTACTCAATAATTGAACCTTTTAGAAACATGGGCGCGTTCCTCATACTGCCTTAATAAACATGCCTCACTATGTACATTTAGCATAGAGCACAAGTTTTTCCCTTAAAATTTTCTTAAGTCCCCATCTACTATTGCCTATGCCTTAACAAACAACACCACTTGCCAAAAGCGCACTGTTTGCTTCACAAAGACACATTATCAACACAGCTCACCAAGAGTACGCTCCTCACTTATCAAGGACATATCATAACATCGTTCACCAAAGGCATGCTCTACAACTTGCAGGGACATGTCCTCAAAAGTAACTCACTAAGCTAAAATTGCCCTATTACCCAGCACATTTTCCTATACCTTAGTCAATGGTCTAAGGATGGTCACTTTATGACCTTCCCTCAAATTATGGGGGTAATATTTACCTTCATTACTCAATCAATGAAGTCAACCTTCTGAGTCACCTAACTAGTGCATGTCTAATTACCACGTTACCTCACCTCAAAAACTAGCTCGCCTTTCGTTAAGGAAGGGCTCGCCCAACTTCACCACTGACATCCCATTATGGCATCACTTTAGAATTGAATACATAGCCTCTAATATTCAATGGCCCCAACCATGCTTTCTAATTGTAAGTTTAGGTTCCATCACCTTCAACCTTGAAACAACTTCCCTCTAATTAAGATATCCAAAAGTATCATCAACAATTTTTAACTTTTCAATACACTTTAAATGTTCAGTTTTAACAATCTAACACACTAAATATTGTGCAAAAATTTATACAATCTCTTAATTCATGTTAATGCATTGAGTGTTTGCTTTAACTCCTATACTTTTTTTGTGCCTCTTAAGTGCGTAGAATATCTAGTGCTATGGATTTCTTCTAAGATGTCTTTCTTAAGTTCAATGTTATTGGGAGCGCACAATTTATATTAAATTTTCAAATTTTCATTGTTTCTTTGTCTATATTAAATTCATTATCTTAAACTTAAGTACTTTTAATCTTTTCAATCAAAGTAAACTCAACTATTTTTTGAGTAATCACTTTGTCCATGATTAACTTCTTTTAAATCTATCTTCTGTAATTCTTCAAAATATTCTTAGGATCGCGATCAAAATCTAAATTACTTGTGAATTTTTTTGTTTAAAGGATTTGTAATATCATTCGCTTTTTCAAGGTAGTAATTAATAAATAAATCATTTTGATATATCAACTCTTACCAAATTTCTTTCTTATATTTTCCTTCTTAAGACACATTGAAACTCTTATTATAAATGCTTACCTTCAAAAAATCATTACGTAGCTAAAGTCTATTTGAATAGTGGGCACATTTCTGAATAGTGGCGCGCGGCACATTTAATTTATCAAGGAGCATAGTGGCAAAAGAGAACGTCCGTACTTATGATGACTAAGAATTCAACTTTGACTTAGAGTATGGTGTGGTCGCAGTTTATACTTTGTACCAAGACTTTGCTTTAATAATTTCATTCAATACATGATTATACTTTTTATTTTTTAAATAATTAATACGAAACTTTTGACTTGGTCATCATATGCTCATTTATCATCACATTAATGATTAATCAAAAATAATACTTTTGCCAATTTGTTCATATACGTGGCAATGACCCTTAGATTGTAAGGAGTATGATTATTTGGTCGCCATCATTTCCCGCTTGTGTGGTACTGGTAGGTCCAAACTCGTTCGAGATGAGTATTTTTTTTTCACAAAAAAAAAAAAAAATCTTAAGAGAGCAAGAGAAATAATTTGTGAATATTAAGCACCAAATATCAATTGTATAATAATTTATTTTTTTAAAAGAAAAATACAAAATCATTTGAATTAAATTTTAAATTTATTAATTTCCTTCGTTATGCCTATTTTTCATTATGACATGTGAAGGTAACATATGTCAAGCCCATAAAATATAATTAAGATATATATATATATATCAACTCTTTAAATTATGAATTTTTTAAGCCAAATTATAATTTCATATGAATAAGATAATGAAAACAATGAGAGAATCAATATATACTTATATAGTTTCTCACAATCTTAACAAAATTAACATAGACTTAACACCTGAATAAACGGAACGACAAAACATCTCATGATATGAGATATCTAACAAATCATCCAAGACCACAAAACCACATATAGTAAATAAAATAAATCAAACACTAGAATATCCAAGAAAAAAAAAAATGAGTCCTACCATGAGAAACGAAAGTCAAATAAAAAACGTAACAGATTGCATCAGCACCAGGCCGTACGCATGTCTTTGGGATGGAAGCTTATAAATGTACTTTCGTTTTTGCTTTTTCATATTTTTTTTAGTACTTATTTTTAAATAAAATTATTTAATTATTTTTTATAAATTTTTTGATATTCAAATTTAATAAATTTTATAATTTATTGGATACAAATTTGAACTGAAAATAATAAAATCTAGAACTACCAGAATTTTTTCCTCCAGATTATTCTACTCAAGCCTCTTTACCCGACCCAATTGATGGGCACTCTAGGTTCACACTTAATGGACTATTTATTTATTTGTTTATTTTTATTTTATTGTTTTACCTATGATAATATCAATATCACCCTCCCACTAGGCAGGTAGAAGCCGTGGAATTCAATATATGGGGTCCAGCCATAATTCCCCTCCTAATTTCAACTTCGCTTTTGTTGAGGAATATCTCATGTATCTTGGTGTTAATTATTTAGTAGCTGTTGCCCATGCCTCTTCAAACTTGAGTGATCAAAAGCATTATTTCTGATTAATTTCAAACATACATTAATTACGTACCAACATCTCAACTTACTCTGCACCAAATCTGATCTAACTAAAGCAATGTTTTGTGCAAATCCAACAAAAAACTGAAGAGGCACATCTTTGAAGAGAAAAACATGGAGGTTCCACGTCCTCGTCCATCCTCACACCGGGACAAGTCGCTCTCAAAAAAAAAAAAGGGACGGCACAGAAAGGAATGAACGGAACAATATCCAAATTTTTATAAAGGGAAAACACCCACTTTATTATGGTATATTACTTTTTTTGTTTCATTTTTATTTATTTAACCCCCAAAATGTTCCCACCACTGCTATAAATATCAACACTTAATAGGCCTCAGCTTTGAAACAGCAGTGCAAGTTGTCTCGAAAGTAGTAATTCAAAAAGACGATATTAATTATGCAGGTGGACATGAAGGCGAAGGTGAAGAAGGGATGGCTTGGCGTTCATGTTGGATTAGAGGAGGATGGAGGGTTTCAGCGATTTGTGATTCCCATATCCTACCTTTACCATCCACTTTTCAAGCTGCTTTTGGAGAAGGCTCATGAGGTATACGGCTACCACACGACGGCGCCTTTAAGGCTGCCATGTTCCATGGACGATTTTCTTAATCTCAAGTGGCGGATAGAGAAAGAGTCCAACCATCATCTTCCTCTCACTTTGTCCTTCCACTCTTGTTGAATTTCATCATCACAACATACATGCCAAAAACACATATAGCAGTATGCTTCCTGTCAATTAATTAGGCTTTCTTTTTCTTGGTTCGAAAATCGATATCGGGTTTTTTGGGTTTGTAAGGTACATAATTGTCAAGCTATATATCACTTTTTGCAACTTTGGTTTTTTTTTTTTTTTTAAGTTTTAAGAGAGCAGAATCCTACGGGATAAAAAGAAAAAGTCGGGGTCGAACTTAAGCCTTTTATTTTCTTTAAGATTTACTTGATTATTAAATTAAACAGCTGAAGATAACTCTTATTATTTTTATATATACATAATTTTTTATAAATTTATCACTGGTTAAGACTCAAACTTTAAATTTGTACTATTTTAAATGCATAATATCTAGTCTGTTGATACCCAAAATAAGAAAATGAAGATGTAATATTTCATTTAACCCAATAATGATCATTTATCATTACCCTTGCCTTAACATCTACTCTATAAAAGATATGACCAAGTGAATGTTTCTTGAATTGTTTGAGACTAGCTTATATATATATATATATAGGTCAAGCTATACATAAATGGAATAATAGCGATTCCTGGTTTTAAATCAGTGCAACTAACTTCAAATCTTCTTTGAAGTCTGATCGATATTTTTTATGAATTTTGTATTTGATTGGTTTTTTTATGAAGCCTTAATATTCGAACATAATTTGTTGATTGAAGGATTTGATTTGCCTTTAATCACAGCTGTTAATTGATTCTTCTTGATACACCCCCACAAGATAGGTGTGCCATCAACAACACCTATCTTGGATCGAAGAGAAGCAACTTGTGTTCTTGAGACAGGTTTTGTGAGCAAATCAGTTAACTGGTCGTTGGATGAGATATGAGATATTGCTACTAACCTTTTATTGACACGATCTTCAACAAAATGATAATTAATGGTAATATGTTTCATCTTGGAATAACACACTGGATTGACACAAACATAGTTAGCTCCAATATTATCATAACAAATTATAAGTGTTTTTGTGAGATGGATGCCTAACTCAGTAAGTAAGGATTTCACCCAAGTTAGTTTTGAAACAATGGTAGCGACTGCACGATACTCTGCTTCGGTCGAAGAGTGAGCCACTGAACGTTGTTTTTGAAAGCACCAAGAGATTGGAGTTCTAGCAAGATAGACGATGTAAGAGGCGATGGATGTTTTGTCATCACAATTGTCAGCCCAATAGGCATCTGAAAAGGCTATAACACAAGATAAGGTTTGTGGTTGAATTAAAAAACCATAATCTGAAAAAGCTATAACACAAGATAAGGTTTGTGGTTGAATAAAAAAACCATAATTGATTGTTCCTTTTAAGTATCGAAGGACTTCTTTAAGAGCTGCATAATGAACTTGAGAAGAACAATGCATGAATTGAGATAATTAATTGACAATAAAGGCTATGTTTGATTGTTCCTTTTAAGTATCGATTGACCCTTTTAAGAGCTACATAATGAACTTGAGAACGACAATGCATGAATTGAGATAATTTATTAACAATAAAATCTATGTAAGGCTTTGTGACGGACAAATATTGCAATCCACCAATTAATTTTCTGTAGAATGTAGCATCAATCTTTGGAGAACCATCATAAAGAGATAACGAGCAAGTAGTTGCCAAAGGAGTTGCAACTTCTTTTGCATTTCCCATTGATGACTTTTCAAGCAATTGTCGAATATATTTCAATTGAGATAGAAAAAGACCAAAAATTGTCTTTGGGACTTCGACTTTTAAGAAAAAGTGCAGTTCTCCAAGATCTTTAAGAGAAATTTGTTAAGATAGATCCTGAATAAAACCACTTAAGAAGGAGTTATCATTGCTTATAAGGATCAAATCATCAACAAAAACCAAAAAAAAAAAATGTAGGCAGCAGTGGAATAAATGAAAAGCGAAATGTCTGACTGAAATTGAACAAAGTCATAATTGGGAAAAAAAAAAAAGGAAAAAAGAACTCAAGGCATGATACCATGCCCAAAGAGTTTGTTTAAGCCCGTAAACAGCTGTTTTTTATTTTAGTCGAGGAACATGTGTAGGAAGAGAGAAATCAAGGAACTTGGCTGGTTGTTCCATGAAAACATCTTCAGTCAGTGTACCATTCAAAGGGGCATTATTCACATCTAATTGATGTAGAGGCCATTTTTGAGCTACAACAATACATAAAAAGGTTTGTGTTGTTACCAATTTTATAATTAAACTAAATGTATCTTTGTAGTCCAAGCTAGGGTATTGGTAAAAGCCTTTTGCAACCAATCTAGCTTTATATCGAGGTACAATTCTATCACTATTGTATTTAACATTAAAAATCCATGTGCAACCAGTGACTTGTTGATGTAGAGGCCATTTTTGAGCTACAACAATACATAAAAAGGTTTGTGTTGTTACCAATTTTATAATTAAACTAAATGTATCTTTGTAGTCCAAGCTAGGGTATTGGTAAAAGCCTTTTGCAACCAATCTAGCTTTATATCGAGCTACAATTCTATCACTATTGTATTTAACATTAAAAATCCATGTGCAACCAGTGACTTGTTGATTTGGTTGAAATGGAACTAAGTCCCATGTTCCATTGCGCATAAGTGCCATCAATTTTTTGGACATGGTTTTTCACCATCAAGGATCCTTGATTACTTAGGGCACCTATGTTGGTTCCAATGGTTTAGGTAAAGGATGCTTTGTGACTGTAAACAATGATTTAGGCTTAAATATGCTATTTTGAGGACTAGTGATCATCGAATGTGTTCTCTGTAATGGTTGAGACGCATGTAAAGAGTTGGGTGGTAAGGTGATGGAATTAGGTGGATTGGTTGAAGAGTTACAAGGGTGTGAGTGAAGGAACCTGGAATGGACGTTAAAGTAGAAATAGTTGGGGAGTGATCTTGAGGCGATGATGCGTCTTGTAATGCTATTGGATTTATGTTGATGTTGTCACTTTTAGATGTAATTAGCACAATAAAGTGAGAAGTATTTGGAGAAACAATTTGATGTATGCAACATGGAATTGGGACTAAATGCTATGGATGATTGTGGTGAAGGTTGAGTTTGAAAGGGGAACACTGACTTATGAAAACTGACATGCCTAAAAACATACACTCTGTTAGTACTTGGATCAAACATTTATAAGCATTTTGATGAATAGAATAACCAAGGAATATACAAGGTTTAGATTTTAAGTATAATTTATGTTTGGCATAAGGTTTTAACCATGGATAGCAGAGACATCCAAATACCTTTAATTTAAAGTAATTTGCTTGTTCATGAAACAAGGCTTCAAAGGGTGATTTAAAATAAAAAAAGAGGGGTTGACATTCTATTGATAAGATTAGTTGCTGTTCAAATGACATGGGTCCAAAAGTATAAAGGTAAGGATGCATGTTGCAACAATGTGACCCCTGTTTCGACAATGTAATGTTGACATCGTTCTACTATGCCATTGAGTTCTAATGTATGGATTGGAGTTTGAAGATACGATATACCGTACATGGTAAAAACCTTTGTTAGTTTTCCATATTCTTCACCTCCATCAGAGTGCACTGAAGTTATAAAAGTGCCAAAATAGTTTTTTAGCAAACTTTTAAACTTAGGAAATAAAAAGAAAATATTTTACTTGTTTTTGAGAGGATAAAGCCAGATATATTTGGTAAAATGATCCATAAAAATAACATCACATGAGAAGCCATCCATAGACTTAATAGGAGTAGGGGCCCGAAATATCTAGTGTAAAAGCTCAAGAGAATGTTGACTATTTAGGGTGGAACAACAAGGAGAGCTTGTGACTTTTATTATAATAGCATAAATCACAAGGAACATTGAAGTTTTGATCTAAAACACAAGGAAGAGAATATGAATGAATCCTATGTTGAAAAATAAGTATAAAAGGATGACTAAATGTTTTGTGGCAATCACATTTGGAAGTTCAAACATCAACTATGGTCGTTGGTTGCAATTTTGTAACTTAGGCTAAAGTAGGCAATTTTATAACTCTAGCCTCATGTTAAGATCGCCCTTGTGGCTAGGTCTTTTACAACAAAACAATGAGAGAAAAATTCAATAGATGTGTCACCAGATTTGCAGAATTGAGAAACAGATATTAAGTTTTTTTGAATGGATGGAACACATAAAACATCTGATAAAGAGTAAGTGGCAAATTGAGAGTTTAATGTTATGGAACCTGTGTGTGTTATAGACAAAATTGATCCATCACTAATTATAATCTCATTTAAGGCATCATAGGGTGGATGCAAGGACAAGTTTTTCAAGTTGGCAGTGACATGATTTGATGCTGCTGTGTCCATGAACACGTTCTGATTATCTAACCGAGACATATTGCATAATTTGCAACAAGAAGTGGTTAGGAGATAAGTAGTTGTTTGGCCTTCAAGCATTGCCTCGCAATGTGCCCAATCTTTTCACATATTTGACAGATACGCTTGTGTATTTGATATGTGCCAGATTGATTTTCATTGAAGTAGGTTCTTGGTTTCTGCTTGGGCAAGGAGCTAGGACTCAAATGAGAGTAATTGAAAAAAAAAATTACGACTATGCTTTCTATTATGAAAATTGTTTGTGCACTTAGTATAGTTTGCTGTCAAGATTGGAGTTTCTTGAATAGCTTTAGTTTTTTACAAGAATTGTTCATACTCAGTGAGTTTGTCATGAAGTTCTTCAAATGTGATAGCCATTTTCCTTGCCCGAATTGTTGCTCCAATCTCCTTATATTCAAGTCCAACACCATTTAAAATGTGCAACAATAGATCATCTTCTTCTACAGAGGCACCAACTAAATCTAACTCATATTCAATTAACTTGATTAACTCTAGATATTCACTGATTGAGCGACCTTCCATTTTAGTACCAATGAGACGGCCTTTGAGAGTCTTGATCTAGATCTATTTGCATACCAAGTTAGCTCTAAGCTTCTAATGACATCTTGGCAAAGGGAATAAGTGGAATAATTGTTTCTAATGTAGA